AAGACTCCATCAATGTATGAATGAAGAAATAGATATACCATTCATTCTTAAAAAAGGAAGAAAATCAACTGGGCATAGTGGCTCATGCCTATAATCCCAGCACTTTGGGAAGCTGAGGCAGGAGGACTGCTTGAGGCCAGGAGTTTGAGACAAGCCTGGGTAACAGTAAGGTCCAGTCTCAATAAAAATTTCAAAAAATAATTTTAGAAAAGGAAAAACATCCTGTCATTTGCTACAACATGGATGATCCTGGTGTACATTATGCTAGGTAAAATAAACCAGGCAGAGAAAGACAGATACTCCATGATCTCGCTTATATGTGGAATCTAAAAAAGTCAAACATAGCAGAGAGTAGATTTGTGGTTAATAAGGACAGGTGGGAAATGGGGAAATGTTGGACAAACAGTAAAAAGTTTCAGTCAGAATGAGTGAATAAGTTCTGAAGACATACTGTACAGCATGGTGATTAGAGTTAATACTGTATGATATAGTTGAAAATTGCTAAGACACATCTAAATGTTCTCACCCCCAAAAGTGGTAAGTATGTGAGGTGATGGATATGTTAACTAGCTTGATGTAATCATTTCACAAAGTATATGTATAACCAGTCTCATGTTGTACATCATAAATATATACAGTTTTTGTCAATTATGCCTTAATGAAACTGAGCAGGGGGCACAAAAATAAACTTTTAAAAAGGCAGACTGGTTATGAAATAATTTTTAAATTGTTAACAGTTTTTATTATGAAGAAAGGGTATGTTTTAAGAAGATATTGTGGCTTTACCCGAACACACCACCTTATATACTAATATAAGAATTATTATGTGAGATTCTAAGTTATTCTATTTTTTTCAAACTATAACATAACCCCCACTCTTGGTGTGGGTACTTTAATATGTTATGCTTAGTAATAAACCCTGCTTACCATGTGGAGAATACAAAGCAAATCAAGAAGAATAGTGACCAGGTAAATTTACATGGATTAAGAATACCATTTTGTGAGCTGGAATTTTGTGCTTCACCTACAAAGGCAGTTAATAATCAGAATAACCCTTTCAGTACTATTAGCAATGTTGGATTCAGGTGCTAAAATACAGTCTTATTAGGAATAAAAACTTTTCATCCAGTCTACTGCATTCAATGACTGAAAGGGCAAGTAAATGTATAACTAAAAAAAAAAAATCACTATTTTTGAATGCATATGAGCTATATGATAGGAATTCTTAGATGTTTTACATGCATCTTAAATTCTTGTAAAACCTCTGTAAGTGAGCTCTCCAATTCCAGTACTTCCAATACTTTCAGTTCTCACAGAGAAGAAAAAATGAAGCTGATAATGAATATTATCATTCATAAGTAATGACCGGGTGTTTCTATTTATGATTTATAACTTGCAAAACTGAAGAGCAACCTCCAAAGAAATTAAACAACCAATGAGAAAAATAACAGATGTTTAAGTTTATATGATGAGAGTTAGAGAGATTCTAGAATCAATGATCAAATCAGTGCCCAAATTTTAATAGTATGGATAGCCCAACAGGGAGGTCTCATAGTCTTTCATCTCTGTTTAAGAAGCTGTTTTACAATCATTAGACGAAATCGGCAACCAACAGAATGGGAAAAAATTTTTGCAATGTACCCATCTGACAAAGGGCTAATATCCAGAATCTATAAAGAACTAAAGCAGATATGCAAGAAAAAAACAAACTCACTGAAAAGTGGGCGAAGGATATGAACAGACAGTTTTCAAAAGAAGACACATATGAGGCCAATAAACATATGAAAAAATGCTCATTATCACTGGACATTAGAGAAATGCAAATGAAAACCATATTGAGATACCATCTCACATCAGTTAGAATGGCAATCATTCAAAAATCTGGAGACAACAGATGCTAGAGAGGACGTGGAAAAATAGGAACACTTTTACACTGTTGGTGGGAGTGTAAATTAGTTCAACCATTATGGAAGACATAATGGTGGTGACTCCTCAAGGATCTAGAAATTGAAATTCCATTCGACCCAGCAATCCCATTACTGGGTATATACCCAAAAGATTAAAAATCTTTCTATTATAAAAACATATTCACACATATGTTCAATGCGGCACTGTTTACAATAGCAAAGACCTGGAATCAACCCAAATGCCCATCTATGATAGACTGGACAAGGAAAATGTGGCACACATACACCATGGAATACTATGCAACCATAAAAAATGATGAGTTCATTCATCATGACAGAGGCATGGATGCCTCTAGAAATCATCATTCTCCGCAAACTGACACAAAAACAGAAAACCAAACACCGCATGTTTTCACTTATAGGCAGGTGATAAACAATGAGAACACTTGAGCACAGGGAAGGGAACAACACTCACGGGGCTAGGTAGGGAGATGGTGAGGAGGTGAGGGGAGGGACGGGGGGTGGGGCAGATGGGGAGGGATAACACTGGGAGAAATGCCAGATGTAGGAGACGGGGTTGGGGGAGGCAGGGATGTGGCATGTGGCATGTATGTACTTATGCAACAATCTGCAGGAGGCAGGACATGCACAGGTACCCCAGAGCCCAAAGTATAATTTAAAAAAAAATAAGAAGCTGTTTTGGCATGACAAAATAAAGTAATACGACATATTTGTAGAGCTCTGGGGGAAAAGCTTTAATTTATATTCAAATGTTATATGCATATTTTTAAAAAATATAAGATGCATAGAGTAGTCAAATTCTCTTTCACAGAGACCCAGAAAGTAAAATGATGGTTGTTAGGGGCTTAAGAGACAGAAGAATGGGAATTATTTTTTACTGGATACAGGGTTTCTTTTCTATTTTGGAAGATGAAAAAATTCTGAAGCTAGAGGGTGGTGATGGTTACACAACAATGTGAATGTACTTAATGCCACTGAATTGTACATTCAAAAATGGTTGAAATGCTAAGTTTATATATTATATATATTTTACCACAATAAAAAAATGTTAAAAGTCTCAGCTATCTCATTATAAAAAGTGGTCTCAGGGAAGTCACATGTAGATCAGAAGTACAAGAGAACATAATGTATCTGAAGAAGTGAAAGAAGTTTCCTATAAATGAAAGAAAGACACTGAAATACTAAGAAACAGGCTGGAGAGATGGACACTACATATCACATGAGGGATTATGGATTTCAACCTAAGGACAGTACAAAGCCTTTATCAGAACTAAAACAGATTTACAAGAAAAAATCAAACAAGCCCATTCAAAAGTGGGAAAAGGATATGAACAGACACTTTACAAAAGAAGACATACATGAGGCCAAAAAACATGAAAAAATGCTCATCATCACTGGTCATTAGAGAAATGCAAATCAAAACTACATTGAGATACCATCTCACGCCAGTTAGAATGGCGATCGTTAAAAAATCTGGAGACAACAGATGCTAGAGAGGATGTGGAGAAATAGGAACACTTTTACACTGCTGGTGGGAGTGTAAATTAGTTCAACCATTGTGGAAGACAGTGTGGCAAATCCTCAAGGACCTAGAAATAGAAATTCCATTTGATCCAGCAATCCCATTACTGGGTATATATCCAAAGGATTATAAATTGTTCTACTATAAGGACACATGCACACAAATGTTCATTGCAGCACTATTTACAATAGCAAAGACCTGGAACCAACCCAAATGCCCATCAATGATAGACTGGACAGGGAAAATGTGGCACATATACACCATGGAATATTATGCAGCCATCAAAAATGATGAGTTCATGTCCTTTGTAGGGACATGGATGAAGCTGAAGACCATCATTCTCAGCAAACTGACACAAGAACAGAAAATGAAATACCGCATGTTCTCATTCATAGGCGGGTGTTGAACAATGAGAACACATGGACACAGGGAGGGGAGCACTACACACTGGGGTCTGTTGGGGGGAATAGGAGAGGGACAGCAGTGGGTGGGGAGTTAGGGAGAGATAACATGGGGAGAAATGCCAGATATAGGTGAAGGGGAGGAAGGCAGCAAATCACACTGCCACGTGTGTACTTACACAACTATCTTGCATGTTCTTCACATGTACCCCAAAACATAAAATGTAATAAAAAAAAGCCTTTATCATACTTTAGAAATAAGAGGAATGCACACAAATGTATTTTAAAAGGAATCACCATCACTGTGGAGTAAAGAAAGGTCTTGAGGGGAAGCAAAATAGCAGGTAAGAAGATCAGCTAAGAGGCTATTCCACCAATCCAGTTAGTAGATGACAGAAGCCTACACAAGAGTACAATGGTGAGAATGAAAGGAAGGAGATTAATTTGAGAGCTATTTCGGAAGTAGACTCTCCAGAACTCTTAATTAACTACATAGGAGAGGCGAAAGAGAGAACTGTGTTAACAGTTTCTGAATCGAGCAACTGTGTGAAGGATCTTGCCATTCACTGAGGTAGAGAAGAAAGACTTCATAAGTACTTATCCTGTGAACAAGTGTAGAGGTCAGCAAATTTCTTACTGGCTGCATAGAATTCAATTGAATTCACCTATCTATAATTCAACACAAAATGCTAACTGCCTCACCAAATTCTTTTAAATTTTTCTAATTATGCAAACAAAAGAAGAGATGGAGGCATTTTTTAAAAGCATAAAGCTGTAATTAATAATGACAAAAACAAAAAACCATTTACCTATTTTAACAGCCTCAGCTTGTTAAATGATAAGGGAATCATTACTGAAAATCTACACTGATAAGAAAAGGTAGCTGGGACCCAAATTTTATATCTCAAAATTTTAGCCATTAATCTATTAAGCATTCTTAACCCTTCAGACCAAGGTGTCTGGGTTTACTTTTCTGACAAAGCTATTTTTATAAATATATTTTTATACTTGATGAAATTAATATCTGAATTACATATATTAAGAAGGGGAAGGGAAAAGGATAAATCGGTAAAAACAACAAGTATTATACATTCTGTATCACTGAACAGAAAATTACTATGTGGTTCTATTTCTACCCTGATACCATACCTTACTCTAAGTACAGTGAATGAGCCATCCTTCATTCCAAGGGCAAGATGGATTCCATCTGCATTTACAGCTGCACAACGAATTGGTTCTTCCATATTACACCTTGCTATTAATGCATGATCTACCAGGCTCCATATCCTGTGAAATTTAATTTTAAAAATAAAAAAGAATAGTTAGGTAATGCATACTTTAAAAATAATGAAAATATTTTGGTTAAAATAATAACCTCATCTTAATTAAATAAATCTAGATAACTATCTGCTTAATTAAGATAAAGCTAGATAACTATCAAGAAATTCTTATCTATAAAAATGGGAATTGTTCATGCTTAAATGACAGAAGTTGAAGGGATCTTTTGTTTTTATTTTTATCTTTTTAGAGACATCATCTCACTCTGTCACACAGGCTAGAATGCAGTGGCATGATCATATCTCACTGTAACCTTGACCCTGTGGCTCAAGTGATCCTCTTGCCTCAGACTCCTGAGTAGCTGGAACTACAGGAATGTGTCATCTAACCTGGCTACATTTTGTTGTTGTTTTGGTATCCTTTTAGCACAGCTATAGTGTCACTGCATAAAAAACACAATGAATGATTTGCCATCTAATTGAATAACATTAAAGTCCATGCCCCATTGTGCCTTATGAATGTAACATTCTACGTCCAATTTTATCTTTTTCCTCTTATTTCAACATGACAAGAATGCACTGCTAATAAATAATAATGTCACCATATGGTAATGCACACAGTGCTCAAAATTCTGTCAAGTTGTAATTGTGCCACTGAAATTTGTAATGCACTGAAAGCAGTGCAAAGTGACGTGAGTAGCATAAAAAATATCAATAATTATCTGGAAAGAATTAAGTTGAGTCTCTATCTTACTCTTTACACTAAAGGAAGAGCTGTACACAGATTAGGAGTTAAGCACAAAAATAAAACCACTAATGAACTGAAAGAATATATTGAAAATTTTTTAAAAGTAATTTTGGGGACTATTTCTCTTTGACACAATCCTAGAAGTCATGAAAGAAAATACTGATAAATTCAGTTATATAAAATAAAACAACCTACACGAAGTAAAAAAAAGCAAGTAACGAACTACTGAAATTATTTGCAATTTACATTATCAGCAAAGGATTAATATCCAGAATACATGAAGAACTACTAAAAGTAAAGAAGAAAAAGATCAACAACCCTACAGAAAAAAAGGTAAGAAATAAGGGAAGTTTACAGAAAGGATTCTAGGAACCCACCTAACTTTTTAAAATTAGTAAATATAGGGAAAGAATTAAGCACTTTTCTGCCTTAATTATAACCAGGATAAATAAATAATTGATGAGAAGAAATTCTCTTTATAGAAATACTACAGCTAACAAATAATAAGTAATAAATATAAATATTAGAATGCCACCATTTGAAACTCTTATTAAAATGATAGTTTAGGCCATGCAGTCCCAACAGGGGCTATTTCCCAAGAGGCGGTAAAAATTATTTCTTAAGGGTAAAATATGTTAAATATTACAATGGTTTGTGTTCTCTTAAGGGGCCACAATACAAAAAGAGACACACAGTTGTCTGTGATCTTAAAATTTCAGAGAGAGGGTGTGATCAGGAAAAAACAATGTCTAGAAAGTCTCATTACTAAAGTGACAATGAACAAAGATTGGGACATACTGATCTAGACAATAATCATCAATGGCTGCTAATAGAAAAGGAGGTTACACATTACATATCATCAAGCAGGAATACATCACCACCTAGGAAATATCCTTGGTGAAAATTCATAACGGTATCTCATCAAACCTCTAAATCTAACTACCAATTTAAAGGACACAGGGAACACAGACTATGTTAAAATTAAAATATGCAATTAGCCAAATCCAGAAAATGAGAAATCCTACAGGGTGAATACTATTTCCTCAATGAATAAACTGTAAGCAGAACAAAAAGGGAAGGAAGAAAGCTGTAGAATAAGAGAGACAGAAAAGACATATCAACAATCGCAATATATGAACCTTATTTGGATCCTGATTTTAACAAATCACAAAATTTTTTTATGAGACAATTGGGAATTTCTGTACTAGCTAGCTAGAGAACACTGTGTAATAACAGTACTGTGGTGATGTTAGAGATATCTTTTAAAGACACAAACTGAAATATTTAGATGAAATCAAGGGGAAAAAAAACAAATGGCAAACTGGGGAAAACAAACCTCAACTCCTAAAATTGATCAGTGGTTCTCAAACTTTACCATGTATCATAGTCACTTGGAAGGCTTCTAAAATCACAAATTGCTGCATTTCTGGTAGTAGGTCCTGTAAAAGGCCTGATAATTTGCATTTCTTACAAGGTCTTAGGTAATGCTGATGTTGCTCATTCAGGAGCCACACTTTGAAAACCACTGTCATAGACAAGGTTTCTAATTTCTTTTTTTTTTTTTTTTTTTTTAGGGAGGGAAGGAGGAAGGGAGGAAGGCAGGAAGGGAGGGAAGGAAGAAGGGAGGGAGGAAGGAAGGGTGGAAGGAAGGGAGGAAGGGAGGGAGGGAAGGGAAGGAAGGAATTCAAGCAATGAGAGAGACATTGCCGACCTGGATCTAGAGGTTTACAAGTTGATTTCTTTTTTTTGAGAGAAGGAAAGAAAAAAAAAATGAGTAAAGGAGAGAAAAAAAGAGGAAGAGAGAGAGGGACGGTGAACGGAAATATTGCTTTATTCTGAAAAAAAAATGGGTATTAATAATGGCCAATCAATGTTTCATTTAAACCTATGAGTAGGTGTGATGTGGTATTGACAAGAATGTATATTTTATGTATTTGAAGTGGAGAGCTCTATAAATATTTATTAAATTTACTTGTTCCGGATCTGAGTTCGAGTCCTTAATATCCTTATTAATTTTCTATCTCATTGAATCTAAGTCTCTATGTATCTGGGTGTTAGGATCATTAGCTCTTGTTGTTATATTGATCCTTTTACCACTGTATCTTTGTTGCTTTAAAATCTATTTTATCCGCTACGAGAATTGCAACTCCTGCTTTTTATTTATTTATTTATTTTTGCTCTCCATTTGGTTGGTAAATCTTTCTCCATCCCTTTGTTTTGAGTCTTTGTGTATCCTTGCATGTGAAACAGGTCTGGATGTAACATGCCGTTGGGTTTTGGCTGTGTCTTTTGATTGGGGGATTTAGTCGATTTAAATTTAGGGTTACTGCCATTTGATGTTAACTGGCTGTTTGATCTATTCGTTGGTGTAAATTCTTCTTTATGTTGGTGCTCTTTACTTTTTGGTATATTTTTAGTAAGGCTAATACTGGTTGTTTCTTTCTGTGTGTAATGCCTCTTTCAGAAGCTCTTGTAAAGCAGGCCTGGTGGTAATAAAATCTCTGAGTACTTGCTTGTTCATAAAAGATTTTATTTTTCCTTCAGTTGTGAAGCTTAGTTTGGCTGGATATGAAATTCTGGGCTGAAGGTTCTATTCTTTGAGAATGTTGAATATTGGCCCCCACTCTCTTCTGGCTTGTAGAGTTTCTGCTGAGAGATCTGCTGTAGGTCTGATAGGGTTGCCTTTGTGGGTAACCCGACCTTTCTCTCTGGCTGCCCTTAGTATTTTCTCCTTCGTTTCAACCCTGGTGAATCTAACGATCATGTGCCTTGGGGTTGCTCTTCTTAAGGAATATCTTTGTGGTGTTCTCTGTATTACCTGGGGTTGAATATTGACCTGCTTTGCTAGTTCAGGAAAATTTTCCTGAATAATATCCTGAAGGGTATGTTCCAGCTTGGATTCATTCTCTCCGTCACATTCAGGTACACCTATCAAACGTAAATTTGGTCTTTTCACATAGTCCCACACTTCTTGGAGACTTTGCTCATTCCTTTTTATCCTTTTATCTCTAATCTTGTCTTCTTGTTTTCTTTCATTAAGTTGGACTTTGACCTCTGTTATCCTTTCTTCTGCTTGAACAATTCAAGTGTTTAAACCTGTGCATACTTCTCGGAGTTCCTGTATTGTATTCTTCAGTTCTATTAATTCACTTATATTCCTCACTAAGTTGTCTATTCTCAATAGGATTTTGTCAAACCTTTTTTCAAAGTTTCTAGTTTCTTTACGTTGGGCTACAATATGTTCTTTTAACTCACAGAAGTTTCTTATTATCCATTCCTTGAAGAGTGATTCTGTCACTGGGATGCACTCATTCTCTGTCAAGCCTTGTTCCATTGTTGATGTGGAACTGTGATCATCTTTAGAGGGAGAGGCATTCTGACTTTGAGTATTCTCAGCCTTTTTACGCTGGTTTCTTCCCATCGTTGTAAATTTATCCTCCTGTCGTCTTTGAAATTACCAACTTTCAGATTAGGTCTCTCGACTGGACGTCCAAGTTGTTAGTTCCCAGGGCCAGAACGGCAGCATTAAGACTGATGGTGCTTTTGTGCCCAGAATTCTCCTGTCTGGCTTCCTTCTTGTGTCTGTAATGGGTGACTTTGCCTTCCCCGGGCTCCAAACGTCGGTCAGAAGGGGAACCAGTCTCATTTACTCTGCGCCGAGAGCTGCTGCGCTGAGGTGCCGTCACAGCCTCTGCGCCGGTCTCAGGAGTCATGCTGGGGACCCATGTGGGTCCTCCAAACCTCGGTCAGAAGGGGAGCCAGCCCTGTTTACTCTGCTCCAAGAGCTGCTGCTCTGAGGTGTGGCGAACCCGCTGCGCCGGCCACAAGAGTCGCGCTGGTGGCCCCTGTGGGTCCTCCAAGCCTCGGTCAGAAGGGGAGCCAGCCCTGTTTACTCTGCTCCAAGAGCTGCTGCACCGAGGTGCCAGTGAAACCACTGCGCCAGCCACAAGAGTCGCGCTGGCAACCCATGTGGTTCCTCCACTGGGGATCTTCTGCTCTGTGAGTGACCAGAATTTGTCTGAAAGTGTGGCGTCCTCGAGTTCTCTGCGCTTTGACTGAGAGCTGCAATCCCAAGCTGTTATCGATTGGCCATCTTGGATCGTTCCCCCCTCTAATTTCTTTAATATATAGACAGATACCATTAGATCTTATTTTAGATCAAGCAGAGAAAAAGACCTATGAACTAACGGAAAATAGGCAAAGAGCTTGGACAGGTCACAGAAAAATAATGTCCTCTAAACATATAAAAACATACTCAAAAACTGTCAGTATGAGAAATACATATTTTCAAAATGTGACAAGATATCATTTTTTATCTTTTTGGATTATAATTAGTTCTGTTAAGGATGTGGGAAAACAGGTACTGTCAATATATTGACGATAGGTATATGAATTGTTGCTGCCTCTACATAAGGCCTTATCTTACAAAATTTTAAATGCATATATCCTTTGACTACTGCTAAACTTTTAGCAGGGATATTCACACATGTACAAAATGACAAATGTTCAATGATATTCACTGCAAGTCCTGTATTTATAAAATACACAAAACTGGAAGAAACTAATCTTCCATCAGTAATGGATTAGTTGAATAAATTATAGTACATCCATGCAGTGAAATATTATATGGCTGTTAAAAAGGAGATAGCTCTATATACTCTGATATGGAACAAACTCCATATCATATATTTATAAGAGAAAAAACCAAAATCTTACTAATAATTAATTCTATTAATGTTCAGTACTTATTACTTATGTTCATTTGTTACACCATGAGCCAATAAAGCTTTAATCAGAGTATTTTAAGGTTTCTTTATGTTGATCTATGGATAAATTTCAGCCTATGGAATTATTAGAATTTGCTTACCTGACTGAACGATCATCACTTCCAGTCACAGCCAAAGGTTTAGTAGGATGGACAGCAAGTGCCCAAAGTTCACCTTCACAATGCCCTTGCATAATTAGAAAAGGTTTATTTCTTTCTTGCACAACAATTTCAAAAATTTCACTGTCCTGTGTTCCAACTAGAATGTGGTCACCTCTCCAACAAACACTCCTTACAGACAAACCTAGTAAAAAGTAAACTGTATTTAATATATAATGTTGTAATAATCATAGCAGCAGGAGGCAGACAAATCCCTAAGCAGATAGGGGCAGGTCCTGGTGAAATCCAACCTTCAAACCTAAGACAGTTTAAAGCCTGAAAGCCAAACTATAAGTCTTGGATAAATCCACAGACCGATGGAGAACCTCTCTTCCCATCTGGTGCACTTCCCTCTGACTGATCCCCACCTTTCACCTACTTTACATATACTTGCCCTTCCCTAATTGGTTTTTTACAGTGTTGTGCCCATATCTGAGTGGTGCCTTTTTTAAAAACTTTTTTTGCATACTCACAAACAAGTCAGCACGCACTCCCCCATTCTGAACCCATAAAAGCCCTTAAGTCACCCACATTTGGAGACTGCCCACCTTTGGGCAGGGGAGACTAACTGACTTCAGTCCATCCCACGTACCCTCTCCACTGAGAGCTGTTTTGTCACTCAATAAAACTCTTCACCTTGCTCATCTGCCAGCTGTCATCATAACCTCTTTCTGCTTGGATGTGGGACAAGAACTCAGAACTCACCAAATGGTGAGTGCAGGCAGAGCTTCAACCCTGTAGCATTCCCCTCCTACTTGCCAGGCAACAGGAGAGGGAGCCGCTGGGCACTACATGCCCCCATTCATTGGGATGTGGATGGCAGGACTGAAAGAGCTATTAACATGCTGTAATACCCCCTTTGGGGCTTCAGGGTTGCTGGAGTCCCCAAGTTTTTTGGGTGCCATGATATCCCCTTGTCCAGACACCAACACCCAAGGCAGAAGCAAGTCACAGCACACTCAGCCCAGCTGTGGGCTGAACATGGATCCTGCAGTGAGTGTGGGATCCAGCCACAGTGCAAGCCAAGCACAGCCTGTGAGGCCAAGAGGTCAGGGAACCTCCTGGCAAGCCTGGAGCCCAGTGCAGCCCTGGACAGGAGCATTGCCAGCCACAGAGGTCTCTAGCTAGCAAAGCAGCACCCAAAATATCCTGCATCAATAATGTCAATCTTCCTAAATTGAAGTTAATTTTTGTAGCTTTTATATCTTAGATGTGAGACAGAAGAAAATATGTAAGTCCTTGATCCATACTCACATTTCTTTAACTGTGCATGTCGCTTTCCACATGAAATGGTATTTCTGTCATTTTATGTACCTAGTTCCTACCCATTCTTCAAGACATGTACTCTTGTTCCTTTTAGACAACTCTAGCCATGTCTACTTGCTCCGGCAGTCTTATAACAGTCTGCATTGTCCAATGCAGTACTCGATAGGTAAATCACCTTTATACAATTGTATTCTTTTTCTCCTTTAATAATCTGACTTTTTACTTGTCTACATTTCATTTCTTCAATACTCATAAAATCATTAAAAAGAGAGAACTTTACTTTTTCTGCATACTCCACAATGTCTTTTGTAATTGTAGAAAAGCTGTTAAGTTTCTCATGTGTGTTACGTGGCCAATATAAAGATATGGTGTACCTAACAATGTTCTTGTGAGGATCAGATAAGAAAAAGTCTCAAATTATTTTGTAAGTTTAAAGCACAATGTTTAGCAAAACTAATGAAAATAGAATAACAGCATTTACATGCTTATTATGTACTATCCTTATAAACATTTCAGAAGTATCAATTCATTCGATCCTATATCCTAAATAAGATATTTATTCTTATTATCCTCATTTACAGGTGAGGCCAAATTACTAGCCCAAGGTCACACAACTTGTAGGTGACTGGAATATGGTTTAAACACAGATGTGTGAGTACCTTCTATAGTAAAAGATTGTTTTATTATATCAATTTTTTTTAATCCCCAAGAGAAAAAATTCCCCCAACTGCTGACAAATTTGGATGACGGAAAAACACATCTATCCACATTTAAATCATCCCGAACAAAAGTTTCCCCAACCCTCAACATTTACCCTGAAACTGTTTATTTAGAATGGTTTATTAGTTAAATAGTTATTTAGCATTCTAATAGTAAAATACTTTCAAAATCCAAAGATACCTGAGTACCTCTCACATCTCTCTATAGGTCTCATTATAATAGATAATAGACTTATGAAAGAATCTGTCTCCTAACAATGAATCCAAACTCTTTTTTTTTTTGAGACAGAGTTCTGCTGTTGTTACGCAAACTGGAGTGCAATGGCATGATCTCGGCTCACCGCAACCTCCGCCTTCTGGGTTCAAGCAATTCTCCTGCCTCCGCCTCCCGAGTAGCTGGGACTACAGGTGCCCACCACCATGCCCAGCTAATTTTTGTATTTTTTAGTAGAGACAAAGTTTCACCTTGTTGACCAGAATGGTCTCGATCTCTTGACCTCGTGATCCACCCGCCTTGGCCTCCCAAAGTGCTGGGATTATAAGTGTGAGCCACCGCGCCCGGCCGAATCTAAACTCTTCATAGGCAAAATTTCTCATTAATAGAAGACTCTCAATCAAATGCATACAGGGTGAAGAGGCAAATATAAGTCTTATTTATACTTACTGAAAGAAAGAGATAATCTTTGGGATGTTTAGAGTTTGACTATTAATAAGACATTTGTTTTGTTAATACCTTTGTATCCCTGATCTGTTTCCCTGAGATCAATCACAGTAATTGGTTTAAAAGTTAAATCCCAAAGACGAATACAACCATCTCTGCCACCAGTAGCAAAGCCTTCTTCACAAGCATTCATACTAAAAATTCCAGCCTAGAAGAGGAAATAAAATAATTTAACAACAAATGTTTTTTAAGAACATCTCCAATATGAAGGTAGAAACCCTTTTAAACCAATTTAACAATATTTTGGTAGGACATAAGAAAAATAATTACACCAGAAAACACAAAAGAAAAACCATATGAACTTAATACAGTTGCCCCTTGTGAATTTGAACATCACTGACTCGTGGATTTTTTTCAATAAATGCAGTCAACTCTGTATCCACAGTTCCACATCAGCAAAAAAAAAAAAAAACCCAGATCAAAATACCATCTTTGTGGGATGCAAAACCCATGGATTGGGAGGGCTTTTACATATGTGGGTTTCCCAGGGCAAGACTTGAGTATGTACAGATTTTGGTATCTGTGGTCCTTGAGCCAATCACCCCAAAATATCAAGGCATGACTATATATAATCAAGGTGGTATTTAAAGATAAGGATATAACACAAAAGAAAATAAATTTAAACCTTATACCACATGTAAAAATGAATGATAGATGAACTTAAAATTCTAAATGTAAAAAATAAAACAAAAATATTAGAAGAACAACAACATTTAGGTAACTTTGGGCTGTGAGAGACTTTTCTACGCATGGCAAGTCACCCACAAGTTTTAAAATTGTTCATATGAGAAAAGATATAAGCAAAGACAAACAGATTAGAGAAATGTTTGCAACATGTATGACTGTCAAAAGATTAATAAACCTAATGCCCAAATGAATAATGGAAAGAAAAACAATTCAACAACCACCAAAAATTTAAAAAGTAAAGAAGCAAAGGGTAGGAAAACCCAATTAATAGAAATTTAATGCACTGAGGACTTTTCTACATGAAGATCTTGCTGTTAACAACGTGGAGGCTTTGTGCTATCTAGCTACCTTTACTTTATAAAGGGGACCCAACTACTAAAAAGCTCAAACCAGAAAAACGCTAAAAAGTTTTAACAGCAGAATTCTTTTTCTTTAAGTTATTTATATGAAAACTGAATTGCCTCTCATAAATTACCCTAAAGAGCACTTGCTTTATTCTGGTGTGGTTAATCTAGAATCCTTTTAGATTCAAGTCAACAAGCTTTCTCAAAACACTACTCTTGAGAAAGACACCATACTAAAGCAATGGCTTTAACAAGATACTAATTATACTAATGTAATAAATATCCATGAGTCTAATCAATTTCTTCATTGAAATCTTGAAAACAAATAAATTGAGTTACAACAGCATTTTTCAAGCAACCAAACTGACTAGAAACAATATACTATGTTATGCAGTCTGTCATTCTAAGACAAGATTAAGTAATACACATTAAAGCGTTTAAAATATTTAAATATACTTACAGCATGGGCTCCTTGTATTGTTCGTATAAGATTGATTCCTTTCCAAACATATATATCCCCATTGAGTGCACCAGAATATGTTAATTCATCCCTTGCACAGGCTAGGCACAGTATTGTCTGAAGGTCACCCGTCTTACCAAAGACACCTCGTTTTGGGGTCAGAGCATTTCCACATAAACTCCAGAACTAAAAAGTATACAGTATAATCAAATTACCAAGAATTCTTACAAAATAAAGTAAAACATTCCCAATACTTTGATGCTATGTTACAGCAGTGTGCTAGAAATTAACTAAGAAATTGCCTTATGATAAAATCACACTCAACATTCAGATCCTCAATCTAGTGTTGTCAAAAGTTATGTTATAGCATAGCTACAGTCACTGGTCTCTAACTTTATCTGTAAGAATGAGGGAGTTTAACCAGATTATTTTTAAAATATGCTATGCTTTCCTTAGGTTTCTGAAAAAAAAAAAAAAATCTACATAAAACTCAGGTCAAGCCAGGTGTGGTGGCTCACGTCGGCTCAAAGCCAAGATGGGTGGATCACCTGAGGTCAGAAATTCAAGACCAGCCTGGCCAACATGGTGAGACCCCAGACCCACCCCATCTCTACTAAAAATACAAAAATTAGCTGGGTGTGGTGGTGCATGCCTGTAATCGCAGCTACTCGGAAGGCTGAGGCATGAGAATCACTTGAACTCAGGAGACAGGGGTTGCAGTGAGCTGAGATTGTATCACCGCACTCCAGCCCAGGTGCAGAGTTAGACTCTATCTCAAGTTAAAAAAAAAAAATTTAGATAAAAAGTTGGGAATGGGTTAGCAATGAAAATGAAGATAAGTCATCATACACTAGGAGGAAAAAGCAAATCTAATGTTCTCTCTCTGACAGAAACATTAAAGATAGGAAAAAAGGAGTGTGTTATAGCTCACTATAGCTATGATATTTGATACTTTCAAAGCTGAGCAACTGCTTTGCTTGTAAAGCTTCAAAAAATAAGATAGATGTCCATGTGGAATGATTTGGTCATTCTTGTGAGAAAATAAGGAAGTTAAACAAACATAAATCTTCATTACCAAGGTTTTTGCTCTATTAGGTGGAAAATAGGTAAATTTTTATAGTTCATAGAGATAAATTTAAAGAAAAGGGGGTTTGGGGAAAAGTGGGCACAGTGACAAATTCCTCTAGTCTCACCAACTTGGGAGGCTGAGGTGGGAGGATGGTTTGAGGCCAGGAGTTGGAGGCTACAGTGAGCTATAAATCACGTCTGCGAAGAGCTACTGCACTCTAGTGTGGGCCATATGGTAGAATCCCATCTCTAAAAACTAAACCAAAAAAATGGGACAGGGCAGAGATATTTACATTAAATAGTTCTATATAAAGAAATTAGGCCCAAATAATAAAAACTTTGTAATAAGTAATTAACATTTAAAATAACATAAATTATTATATATACTTATTTTAAAATCTGAAGCATCAAAGAACTAAAAATTATGACCATTATCTATTCAAAGATCTAATAAGTACTTTAATTAATGAAACTTTATAATTTTTAAACTTAAAATCTCCATAATTTCTTTGTATATAAGTGGCTGGTTCTCCTTCTTTCAGCATGTCCTAATTTGAATCCATTATTTCCTTCTAGATCAGTGATTCCCAGTGTTAGTGTCACATTAGAATCACCTAGGGAAATTATAAAATAGGATGCCTGGATTCCCAGCTGAAATGAACTGAGACAGACTCTCTGAAGCATGAAGCCCGCCAGGTATTCAAATGAGTTTGATGCTCAGCAAGGGTTAAGAACTATTGTTCTAGAATCCAAAACAACATTGTCCAAAATAACTTTCAGTGATGACACACACACACACACACACACACACACACACACACACACAAACTTTCACACATGCATGCTTTCCAATACAGTAACCACTAGATACATAAGCAAATGAAATGTACTGCTAGTGTGAACGAGGAAATAAATTTTAAATTTCATTTAACTAATTTGTGTTTAAATAGCTACACATGGTTGTACAGTGCAGTTCTAGATCATCCCTGGGACTTAATTTCCTCGCACATATTGTCTGCAAAGAGACCTATGTTACTATTCATTTCTTTTAGCAAAGAAAAATAAACATAACTCATTATAAAAATATAGTTTAATTGAGATGAGTTTTTTATAAAAACCTGAAAATGGAACCTTTAGCTTTATTTACAATATAAAATAGTAATAAAATCTCTTTATTGATAATTAATTTGTCAATCACTTATTAGGCACTTTATATCAAGTACTGTATCAAACATACCGTCCATCAAAGATGAACAAGACGAAAATCTCTACCTTCACAGTGCTTATATCATGTGCCTTAAAACCCAGCATACAGCCTTTCTGCTATTAAATATTTGTCAAAAATTAATATGTACTACTATCTATCAATCAAAACAATACCAGAATAACAAATCCAGAATTGCAGCAGCAGTGAAAGATGCACTGGGGAAAATGTGGATGGACTTAAACATGTTGAAATAAAGAATGTGAACACAGAACATTAACTCACTAGGAACTAACTGCTATCAGGAACTGTTACATCAGATGGTGGAAGTAAACAAATTGTTTCCAATTTGTTCCCATGATTTAAAAGTAACTCTAAACAAAATAATAAACCACTGACTTTATAGGCTTCAAACCTGAGCTGTAATTATAAAACAAAATCCAGAGCTTTCAAAAGCAAAGCAAATAGTGGCTATCAAGGCTGAGGGAGAGACAGGGAGAGATTTATTAAAGCATACAAAATTATAACTAGATAGGAAGAATAAGTTCTACTGTTTATACCACTACAGAATGACTATAGTTAATAAAAATAAACAGTTTCAGATAGCTAGAAGGAGGATATTGAATCGCCTAAAACAAAGAAATAGCAAATGTTTGAGATGATAGCTAATTACCCTAATCTGATCACCACACATTTTTATTTAGCAAAAAATGGCTACGTACCCATGAATACGTATTATTATTATTTGTCAAATAAAAAAATTTAAAGGCAGAGGTCAAATCAGGGAGCAAATATAGAAAAAGGAAAAACAACACTTTCAGAAAGCTGACCATGTGTTAGGCACTATGACGAGTACTTATAAATATACTGCCTTATTTAATCATCAACTCTTTGAGGATGGTGACAGCAGTCACAGTTTTAAAATGTGAAAAAAGCTCAAAGACATTAAATAACTCATACTAGGTTAAACAGCTAATAAATGACAAAGCCAGCTCTACTCCTGTTGCTTCTCTGACACCATTCTATTTATGTAAATGAAAAACTCTTCAATTACTTTGTTTCCTATTCTCACATTTTACTTTGTAAATGAAACATGAAGAGGCAGGATAGACACAATAAATCCTACCTCACTAGACTATAATTTTCTATTCATACCTATATCCCTTATATAACTCAAAGCAAATACATGTTTGACTGAACATCAGAACATTAAAAACATTGCCATTCAAAAATTAAGTACTATCAAAATTCTGAAAGTAGGCTAAATTGTTAACAGTGCAATATATACTTAGCAGCAGAGAACTAAACGTGACTATTATAAAACAAGACCCTTCTAGTACCTTGATATGTTTTACACCACAGCTGACAAGTTTATTTGGCTGGTACAAATCCCAAGAAATATCAAATATCTGTAAACAAATCAGATTCATAATTAAAATACTTATTTCCAGAGTCATTTAAATATCCTGACCAGAGGACTAAATGGTGCAAACTCATATGATAAAAAATATTCCTCAATAAATAACCAGAATCCCACGCTTAAAAATCTTTTAAGAAATAAAGTAAATTTGAAAATGATAAGAAATAAAAACTCTTGAGTTTTTATGAACTTTATGAAACACTACTGGAGTAACATTTAACACCTCTGTTTATTTTTAATTTAAAAAAAAATTGGTCCATAAATAACAAGAATAGTTGAACAGAATTAGGGCATGACGGGAGGTGCTTGCCTAATTTCTACAGAAAAGAGATTCAGAATGGAACATGACACTTACACAGCCTAGAAATAAGAAACATTTTCATAACTATCATACAGAACTATTTACATAAAGAATCCAAAAACTGATTTTACAGTATTTTTTTTTTTTACTGGTTAAAGGTCAGTTAACTTATACTTAAATTTTGGGGGATCTCCAGGCTTCATTATTTTCTAAAATTCCATAAATTCTAAACACATGCAACACATTTTGTTACAAAAGCAAACAAGCAAAAACTCAACGAAATAATATACGAATTAGAAACATGTAATTAAATAATGAAAGAAAAATTAACATTTAAAAAATAATTCATTTATTTTGCTTTCTTGTAGTCTTTATGTTGCTTTGACACCTTATCAACCTACTGCTAAAAGGTTTACATTTTACTCTAAAAATTTACAAAATGATACTCTTTAGTGATAATGAAGAATGAATATATGTTACAGTTAATATTTAACAACTCACCATAATACAGATTATATGAAAAACATTATCAATGCAACTTTGAAATATTCAACCACAAAAATACTTTTAAAAACTCCATTGATGGTGTCATATTTTATAATAATGGATCTATTTATTAAATTCCAAATAGTAATGTGCAAAATGCTTTGATATAAGCAGGTAAGAACATACCAGCTGTTTAATAAAATATATCCAACATTTTAATAACGGTTTACATTCTGTGTGTGTGTATGTGTGTGTGTAATAGGCTTCTCTGAGCATCTACAAAAGCCAAATGTATTCTCCAAAATGCAAATATACACAAAATTTTCTACACAATTTTTATAGTCATAAATTCCCACAAAATAGAATCATTAACTATGCCTCTGTGCTGGTTCAGGTTAGGATTTTACTACACATACCTAAACAAAATTAGACACTTTTAGGAGTTTATGAGAACTTTTTTGATCTACAGCCATAACAATAGTTTAATATTTAATTAAAAGCTGGCTATGATGTACTGTTTAGACACAACTTGGAATGAGGAATACATATTCCAACCAATTGTCAGTTAAAAATGTTAGGTCTCTAAAAAATTGAATGGTAATACATAATATTAAATCCAAACACACAACATCATTTTTCACCTTAACTATAATACATATGTAACAAATTAGTGGTAAACCAAACTAAATAGACCCTAGGCTCAGACCACTCAATTTTTAAATGGAGATTCGAATAACGAGTGTCTGTATATGTCCAGACTCATCAAATTTCACACATTAAATAAGTGTAGCCCTTTGTATATCAATTACATTTCAATAACAGTGTTTTTTAAAATGAAAAGAAAATACATAGTTTGTACTGAAGCAAACACCAGGTTAAAAGTTTTATGCCAATGCTATACATATCGATTCATGCTTCCTAGTACTACGACACATATGCACTCTAAGACTTAAGAGTTTTTATATTTGTACAATTATTTACCAATTGTAAAATTTTAATTACATATGACCTATCTGGCAGTAACAAAATACAGAAGAATAAAATCCCCTGAACTCTCCTCTGGTCTTTCCCTTCCAGTACTCATTAGAAATCTCAAAAGAGAATACTTACTCTATCTGTATGACCAGGAGCCATAGACAACATTTTTCCCCTTTTCCAGTCCCAAACACAAACTGCATTCTTTGAATCAAGTCCAACTGAAACCAAGCGCTGAATTATTTCCAAGAAATCCAGGAAGGAATAAAAAGGCAAACAAATCAAAAAGAAACCAAATTATACATAGCAAATAAATTATACTCATGGGTTTTTATAAACATAAAACATACACACCTATATTTTATAGACCTCATAAATGCTGAATGTATTTCATCTTGGTAGTATTTGCACATATGTATAGAACTTCACATTATGAAACGAAGAGAGACTTCCATTTCTAACAGTAGGATTGACAAAATATCCTAAATATGCCTCCTGCCAAAAACCAGAAATACTAGATAAAATGTAAAATCATCTTCTTAAATGCACTGCTGAACTGTTGAAAAATGTTAAAAATCTAAGAACAAAACCACAGTGATTTCCAGTGGGAAACCCGGAGGGTAAGAAAACACCTACATTTACTAGACTCTAAAGGCATCAGATGAATACCAGTACCCATGATTTTTGTGCTGTAGGCTGAGGAAGAATAGGAGATATAGTCTAGGGCCTACCTAAGGTGGGGGTTTGAATTGCAGACCACTTCTGATTAAAGCAGTAAACCTCTCAGAAACAACAAATAACCCCTTCCTAAAGAAGGGGAGGCAACTCATGAAGAGGGAAAAACACCTCCCTCAACATTTGTAACCACAAGCAGCCTTTACATGGTTGCTGGCCTAAATTCACATTAAACATGAATCCTTTAACTAGGAAATTTAATTCAAAGTAGTCTTCAGAGTTGGTTGTGTCTTCAAGCAACTTCAACAATGTGTGCCTGTAATCTCAGCACTTTGGGAGGCCGAGGTGGGTGGATCACAAGGTCAAGAGATCGAGACCATCCTGGTCAACATGGTGAAACCCTGTCTCTACTAAAAATACAAAAAATTAGCTGGCATGGTGTCACATGCCTATAATCCCAGCTACTCAGAAGGCTGAGGCAGGAGAATTGCCTGAACCCAGGAGGCGGAGGTTGCGGTGAGCCGAGATCACGCCATTGCACTCCAGCCTGGGTAACAAGAGCAAAACTCTGTCTCAAAAAAAAAAAAAAAAAAATGTGGCCCAGGCAAATATAAATGAAGTACTGCAACTTTAATCCATCCCTCAAAGAATTCCTACAGGTAGCAATTCAACAGAAATAAGCTGAAAAAAAAAAAAAAAAAAAAAAAAAGGCTGGGTGTGGTGGCTCACACCTATAATCCCAGCACTCACTTTGGAAGGCCAAGGCAGGTGGATTGCTTGAGGCCAGGAGTTCGAGACCAGCCTGGTCAGCACTGTGAAACTCTGTCTCTACTAAAATTACAAAAATTAGCCAAGTGTGGTGATGCAACGCCTATACTTCCATCTACTCAGGAGGCTGAGGCAGGGCAGTCACTTGAACCCAGGAGGTAGAGGTCGCAGTGAGCTGAGATAGCTCCACTGCACTCTAGCCTGGGGGACAGAGTGAGACTCTGTCTCAAAAAATAATAAGCTAAAAAATAAACAAAACCACCCCACTCACACACACAACACAACAAAATAAGAAACTGAGAATGGGCTAGTCACAACAAACAGCAAAGTCAGCCTTGAAAAAAATCAGATATGAAATTATCAGATAAATAACATAAAATAAGCTAAAGGTGAGTAAAGAAAAAAAATTAAGGATTCAAAATATCTGTATATGAGCACAGAATATAAGACTATAAAAAGCATCCCAGGAGACTTGAAGAAGCAAACAGAATTTCCAGAAACAAAAAATAAGTTAAAAATTCAATGGAAGAGTTAAATACCAGAATAGTTGGAGATGAAAGCACAAAGTTGAAAAGAGAAGTGGATAGTGATATGGAAAGTATGAGAGATGTTTAAAAACATAAAAGATGTACTTCTAGCCAGGAAGGAGTATCAAGGTCTAAACTCACCCTCCCGCACCCTGTCCTGGCCATAAACAGCTAGAAAACTATACAGAAAATGTTTTCAGACATTTGCAAAAGGAAGCAAAACACTGTGAACCCTGAATGGGGAAAACAAACAAGATAAGTCCTATAATCACCTCAGCTTCCATCTAGGAGGCAATTTCCAGACTATGGCACAGAAAGGTGGAATCCAAATAGAGCCCAGTATACTTACTAATTTGGAAAAACAGAGCCTGAAGTTCAGAGAGGCCAAGATGGCTAGAATTTGCAGAGCAGGAAAAGAGCTCCAGTAAAATCTATAGTAAGATTTGAGAATATTAATACTTACCTGGCAGGGGAGATACCATGATCATGAAGAATATTAATCTCTGCATGCATAGGATGAAATCTATGAGGTCATGCAAAAAGAAATTCTAGAAAAAGAACAATTACTAGAATGCTAAAAGCAAAAAATTCTCAGAGATCACAAGGGTCCAGAATCACTCAAATTCTCAATAACCAGAATGGAGATATCTTTTTGAACGCACTGGGCAGTCATTAGGAATCATGGGGGGCTGGGGGCTGTCATACCTTAATAATGAAGTTATTCTAGTAATTCTACAGCAAAAGCTATTCTAGTGCTGCTCCATAAAAGCTTGAAAGCAAGCTTTTCACAGAGATCAAACTGATTCATGAGGAACTTGACTGTTTGCCAGAATGGTGTCCATATCCTTTAAAAGGATATGATAAAATTATTGGCATGTGAAGAAACAATAAATTAAGGAAAAACAGTCAATAGAAATAGACTCAGGAAACCCAGAGATGATTAAAATGAGGAGACATTGGCTGTGAAAATGAACATTTTCAAGACACTCAAGAATTATCTTACAACAAACATACCAAGAATCAAAAAAAGAAAAGATATAAAAGAACAACATAGAAAATTATTACATTATCTAAAATGAAAATTTACTCCAAAGGATTAACAGCAGCTTAGACGATGATGAAAAGATAAATAAACTCGAAGAAATAGGAATAGAACCCAACCAAAATAAAGTACAGAAAGAAAAAGAAAAAAATAATTGCCAGAGCTTCAACGGCCTGTAGGAAAATATCAAGTGATCTAACATACAAGTAATTATGGCTCCAGGAGAGAAAAAGATAGAAGAAAAAAACCTGAATAGTAAAAAGTTTCCTAAATCTGATGAAATTATAAATCCATAAATAGAAGATGCTCAACAAATCCCAAGCAGAAAAAATACACATCAAGACACATGGCAAACAAACTGCTGAAGCCAGCACTAAAGAGAAAATTCTAAACAGCAGCCAGACAAAAAAGGGCAACTGAAGTATGGAGAAACAAAGGTTTAAAAATTATCCTAGACTGTTCAAAGCGATGCAAGGTAGAAGACGAGGGACAACCAGTTTAAAGTGCTGAGGCAGAAAAAAAGTCAACACAGAATTGTACTAAGCAAAAATATCCTTTGAAAACTGAGTCAAAACAAAGTCTTTTTTCAAGCAAACAAAAGCTGAGAAAATGCATCATCATCAGTAAACCTGCACTACAAGATATAATAAGTTTTCTCACACAGAAGGAAAATGATACCAAATAGAAATGATTTACACATGAGAGTGTCCAAGTGGTAAATATGTAAGACGTTTCTCATTAAAAAGATTTTAACAACTATTTAAGGCAAAAAAAAAAAAACAGTTATTTTGGGGTTTCAAAATACGTAGACGTATTAATAAATGACAGTAGCACCATAAACAGAAGAAAGGAAACAGCAGAACATATTTTTTCATATTCTTTCCAAATATACATAAACATCATGGAGATCACAATAATTTGGATCACAAAGTATCAATAAATTTTTGAAAATTAAAATACAGAGTATGTTCTCTGAAAAAAACAGAATTAAATTAGAATAAGAGAAAATCTCCCAAATATTTGGAAATTAACAACATACTTCTGAGTAACTGAAAGATCAAAGAAGAAATAACAAGAAAAACGTGAGGAAAAACCCACAACACATACTGTGAAAAGTACTGATTTAGAGCAGGGGTCAGTAAAATCCTGCCTTTACCTATGCTTTTGTAAATAAAGTTTTACTGGGATACAGCCACCACACTCATTCTTTCATGCATTGTCTGTGACTGCTTTCACACTACAGTGCACAGCTGAATAGTTATAGCAAAGACCAAATGGCCCACAAAGCTTAAAATATTTACCATTTCACTTATTATAGAAAGTTTATTGAACAGTGGTTTGGAGCACAGATTCTAGTAGCAGATTGCCTAGGTTTGAACATCATCTCTTACTAGCAGGGTGATTTTGGACCATTATTTAGCCTCTCTGTACCTTACTCTCTCCACCTATTAAATGGGGATATAAAAGTACTTCACAGGGGTCACTATGAGAATTAACATATATACTATTTAAAGGTGTTAGAGTGCCTCATATATAGTTAATGTTATGTAAATGTCTGCTTCATATCATTATTATTATTGCTATTAGTTTACTGTAACCATAATAAAATGGGGACAAATAAAAGTACCTCACAGGGGTTACTATGAAAATTCACATACATACTACTTAAAGGACTTAGAGCGCCTGGTATATGACTGATGTTACATAAATGTTTGCTTCATATTATTATTACTATTAGTTTTCCATAACCATAATTAGCATTAAGAAACTATGCCCCCCAACTCTTCAAATGAGAAATGCCATTTAGTACCCAGTTACAGTTTCTGCAAAGAAAGTTTCTACTACTTAAACTCCAAAATTGGTAGAATGAATAATTTATATAAGAAGATACAGAATACAGTTCGTTATGACTCATCATCTAATCAAGGTAGCAGAAAGCCCAGAGAACGAGAGGAGATGATTTGTACCTCCTGAAAGTATTTACTATTCGGGAACCAAAGAGCATCAGCAAAAATTTAGCTAGAACAAAGATATCTACCTCTTGTTATCAGTATACTGTGTAGAGGTTAAAATTTCACAGGATAAGTATATTAAGTGAGAATATCCAGAGGGGTACTGTTGTCATTTCTCCTGATGTCTCTTCTGTCATCAGGAGAGACATAAAATACATCATAAAATAAATCAGGAGAGACATAAAATACATAGAGCAAAACACAATTGGCCAAAAACTTTAAAATTCCATGTATCCAAATAGAGCCTCAAGACATCTAGTTCTATACAGGCTGTAACAAACTAGACTTGACAGTGCTTCCTCCATAGCCTTGATAAACGTATTATGGCCCAAACCAACATCCCTACTCAGCAACAGACAGGATGAAGTAGAAGCAACAAAGCAAATACTACCTCCTCTTCTAGCTTTCTATCATTTTTTCACTTTATCAATTTTTTTCTTTTAACCCAGACTAGGGAGGTGAGAAAAATTAAAGAAAGTTTGAAGGAAAAGTAATGCTTAATCTGTATCTTGGAGGACAGAGTCAGAGACAGTCTGCAGAATAGAAAGTACATTTCAGAACAAAGGACCTCAAGATTAGAGAGATCATGATGTCAAGAGAGTGTCAGTAATTCAATGCAGGGGAGGGAAGGAGTGCCAATTGGAAAGTGGCAAAAGACAAGGCTGGAGAGGTAGGGCAGAAGCCAAGAGAAAGAGGTTTGCTTTTTTTTGATAGAATAAAGAGAGAATAGAATTCAGTTTTAAATATATAAATGGAATATCTACAGGACATTCAAGGGTGATATTTAGAGGTGAGAAGAGAAGTCAGAGCCATTGTTAGCTGATAGGAAGTTAAAGTCATAGGCCTATATACTCACCCAGAGAGTATAAGTAAAGTGAAAAGGAAAGAAGGCTACAGACTCCTGAAGAACACTGGTATTTAAGAAGCAGACAAGGAAAGACTCCTTTAAAAATAAGAAGTAATAATCAGAGAGAAAGAAAACCAGATAAAGAAGCCTCTATCCATCTTCCCAAATTCCTCCCTGATCCTATTCCCAAAATCTTGTGTCCATTAACTTAACTGGAAGTATCCATAAAAAATTCTAGCATACCAAATATTTATATAAGAAAAAATTTCAATACACACTAGAAGCATCCCATGAGTTTCTGCAATTGTGAAACAAAGTCAAATAAAGGTTGATTAAACTGAAAAGATTCTAGTATAGGGGCCAGTGTGATCTCAGTGTTCATTATGTAAGAACTAACCATTATAATGTTACAATGTAATATCTCAATTTTTACAGAAGACACAGAATCTGGCAGAGCAACAGAAGAGGACAAAATTCAAGAACAATAAAAAGACACTTGAGATATGTCTAGATATCAAGAGATTACTAAACGGCCCTTGGAAAAACCAGTGAACCTTCCTCCTTCAATATTTTTGCAGCACTGACCCTCTTTATAATCAAGTGCCAAAAGTCAATGGCAAACTGATGCATTTTATTTTGTATCAGCATATAATTGACAAAATTATGTTTAAAAAGCTTTATTTTAGTTCATACTACAAATTAGCAGAACTTTAGCTGTAACTTAGATTGTTAATTATGAGAAATATGTTTTTATAGATTATGGTTATATTTTCAAGGTAAAGTACCAATTAAATTTCCCATATGCCTATCCCCTCTCCCATTTACTACAAAATTTTAGTTCCTGTTTGATGTGGATTTACATAAATAGCCTTTCGGGGCCCTAATTATCTTCAGTAAGGCAGACTGCCACTTTAGCACAGATATTCAATTCATTAGAAGAAAGCCTTTGGTGGCCAGGCATGGTGGCTCACACCTGTAATCCCAGCACTTTGGGAGGCTGAGGTGGATGGATCACCTGAGGTCAAGAGTTTGAGGCCAGCCTGGCCAACATAGTGAAACTCCATCTCTACTAAAAATAGAAAAATTAGCCAGGTGTGGTGGTGGGCACCTGTAATCGCAGGTACTTGGGAAGCTGAGACAGAAGAATTGCTTAAACTCAGGAGGCAGAGGTTGCATTGAGGGAAGATCACACCACTGCATTCCTGCCTGGGCAACAGAGTGTGACTTTACCTCAAAAAAAAAAAAAAAAAAAAAAAGGAGAAGAAGAAAGAAGAAGGAAGAAGAAGAAGAAAGCTTCTGGAAAAAGAACAGCATTTCCACCAACTAGGAAACTTATTCATTGTATAAACCTTAAATAATCACTTGGAGTGTATAATCTAGTAGAAAGAGCAAAATTTATACATTATTTTCTATTTGGTATCTCATAAACGGTTTATAGATAAAAGCAAATAGTTATGTTCTCTCGAATATATTTTTCAAATTAAAGAAGTTTTTCATTAACAATCTTCAGTTGGTAGTAGTTCCTTATATTTTAGTTTTAGTTGTACTTAAAATTGATGAACTTCTTTTGAAATAGAAATAACCACCTCCTAAGTTACACGTTTAGGAGGCAGAAAGAGAACTGCCGTTAAAAAACATGAGTTTGGTGTATGACTGACCTGGGTTCCTGTTCTTCCATTTACTAGCTGTGTAACCTGAAGTAAATTATTTAACCTCTCTGTTTCTTTATCTGTAAAATAGAGATAATAATAATAGCATCTATTCCATAGCATTGTTGGGAGGATTCAATGAGATAATGCAGGCTTAGCATAATGCCTGGCACTTAGTATATGCTCAACACCTTTAGCTATTACGTTTTTATGAACTTAAAATTTTAAGTAATATGTTCTCATGAAGATCCGTCATAATGAAATATATGTACCCAAGACTTTTCTTAGAAGTTGCTCAAAATAAGTGAAACTAAACACTTTGAACTAGCAAAAGCTATGGGCATGATTTCTCCTTGGATATATAAAAGAAATTTCTCAGCAAGCCAATATATTACATTTAGAAAGGGCAAATTTAAAGTTAAGAAAATATCTGTATTTTATGTTATAGATGCTTATAATTAAAATGGCTTGAATTTTGTAACACCTTAAATGTTGTGATTTTTAAAAAATTACTTTGTAGGTTTGTTTTATAACATTTTATGCTCCTATGAAATAGGTAAATATTATTTCCTTTAAAAAAGAAAATGAAACTCTGACAGAACATAAAAGACTTGAAAATGATAGCAAAACCATGAATTAAGTCTCTGCAATTGCCAATCACTGCTATATAATGATAAACCTAGAAGCACATTTTTTTTTCCAAATAAGAGACTCCAATTAAGTCTTTATAGATTCCATACCAGAAAGTCATCTCTTACCAATATGGACAGGAGGCAGGGAAATACTGGGGAGAAGAGGGTGGAGTCCCTGGCAAGGGCTCCACCCTCAAGCCTGGACCCCTGGCCCTAAATGAGAACATGCATTCCTGTTTTCCTGCCCAAATGTTGCCTTTACCAAAATCACCCTGGCCCACCACATCCCCCACCCGTACCCATAAAAACCCAAACTTCACTGGCAAAGGAGCAAAACCACCACAGAGAGGGAGAAAAGAGAAGTGTATGAACATCAAGAGGAGTTTGGCTGGGGATGGTCAGGGGAAGAAAGTTTCCTACTCCATCGCCTTTCCAGTTCCCCATCCCACTGAGAGCCACTTCCATTACTCAATAAAATACTCCACATATACCACCCTTCAATCTGTTTGTGTGACCTGGTTCTTCCTGGATGCTGGACAAGAATTTGGGATGCACTTAAGCCGCCCACAGTTAGCAAAGCTAAAAGAGCACTGTGTGTAACATACACCCTCTGGGGCTCCAGAGGTTGTGGATAATCCCTAGATGCTACCATGGGCAAGCCAGCAGCCAAACGCACTCATCCCGGGTTCTGCAACTTCCTACCTGTGTGCTACCCCTTCCACAAGGTGTTTGAGCTGGGCAGCCAAGTAAATGAGCCACACCTTGTTACAAGTCCCGTGAAAGGGTCAAGGAACTCTCTCATCTCATTACCAGAAAGTCATATTAACCTAGGCTACTCAAAGAAGCTATTCCTCAGAGTAATATATAAAAACATCTACTGGCTATCATGTTTAAGGGGACAGAACAAACTGTAATTTGTTTCTGTAAAATCGAGATCTATAAAACTAATTTTTTAAATTAAAAAGCAGATAATGCTGTTCTAAAATTTAAAATGATTTTACAGTCTAATTTTAACATAAAACTTTTAAAGATAACAAATGAACATACCTGTAAGATCCAACTTTTTACTGGTAACTTTAAAAGTATTTTTAGGTATAACAATTTCCATAAAAGCACCACACAAAAAAAGCCCTTGGCTTATTTAACTTTTTAAAATCACTGACTAGAAGTAGATAATTTAGGAAGCAATTAGTCAGTTGAGTGATAATTATATCCTTAAGTTATAAACTTTGATATCATATTAAAAAAAACTCATAGGAATTGTTCCATTATATTCAATAAAAATATAATTTTAACAGACCTTTAAGGTAACTGGAAATTGAAATATAGGCTGGGTGCAGTGGCTCACGCCTGTAATTCTAGCACTTTGGGAGGTCAACAACACTGGAAGATAGCTTGAGGCCAGAAGTTTGAGACCAGCCTGGGCAACACAGATCCCATCTCTATCAAAAAACAAACAAAAAAAAAATCAGCCAGGCATGATGGTATGTGCCTGTATTCCTAGCTGGTCAGGAGGCTGAGGCAAGAGTACTTCTTGAGCCCAAGAGTTTGAGGCTGCAGTAGGCTATAATCATGTCACTAGACTCCAGCCTGGGCAGCAGAGTGAGACCCTCTCTCTAAAAATTAAAAAATTATAATAAAATATGTACAGCTTTCTAAGAAACTTAATTTTCCTGAGATATCATCCATCTGTCCTATCAAAATACCCTAGCTTGAAAAGTTATATAGAAAAATTTCTATAATAACCAGGTAATATTCCACTATATCAAAATCTCTTTGGCTTTCAAGGTAGTAATTAATTCAATTGAGAAAGTTCTTGATATGATTAATAAAAACCCCACTGTTATATATCAACCACCCACCCTACCTATCCATCTCCACCTTTGCACAAATACTTTTCATCAAATGCTGTTCAATTTAATATTTAAAGATTTATAATCATTTGCTATAATATACTTTAACATACAATTTAGAAAAAAATGAAAAAACTGTCACATACCTGTCCATCTAAGTCAAACGCCAAGCAAGCTATACCATGTGTATGAACATCCTTTAAAACTGATATGGTCTGCACAGTGTATGAATCCCAAATACAAATATAAGGCTCTTTCCCAACTTGTCCTGTTGCTACCAACACTCGTTCAGGGTGCAATGCAAGGCTGTAAAATAAGGAAATAAATATTATTAAAAATTGCTTATACAGATTTTCTAGTATTTGGTAGATGTAATACATATATACAAGTATAAACATTAGACTTTATCCATTTTACACAATTTGTAAAAAAAAAAAAAAAAAAAAAGAAACACAATTTGGATTTTATTATTTTCGTTGAGACGAAGTCTCATTCTGTCAGCTAGGCTGGACTGCAATGGTGTGATCTCAGCTCACTGCAACCTCCATTCCACCAGATTCAAGTGATTCTTGTGTCTCAGCCTCCCAAGTAGCTAGGATTATAGGCACCTGCCACCACACCTGGTTAACTTTTGTATTTTTAGTAGCGATGGGGTTTCTTCTGTTGACCAGGTGAACTCCTGACCTCAAGTTATCCACTCACTTCAGCCTCCAAAAGTGCTGGGATTACAGCTGTGAGCCACCATGGCTAACTGATAATTTGGATTTAAAATAAATAACTTCTATAAAATCCACACTAACAGTTACTACTTCATAGAATATCTTATAAACAGTTAATGATAAGCTAATTATACACTTCATAATCCATGTAATATACTGTATGTAGACTTCTTAAGAAAAGAACTCTAACAAGAGATCTACTGGACCACAGCAACAAATCAGTAGCCTTTCCCTCGTTTAGTATTCACCTTTTCCAAGACTACTTTCCCATTGTACTATATCTTTTATTGGATAAAGTCAGACCAAATCTTAATGTCTAAACATGGCATTTAATAGCACCTCCTACTATAATGCTAATTCTTAAATTATAAATCCCATTTTAAGAAACAGAAAAGTCACCTATAATTCACAGAAATTAATCTATGAGTCTCTTAAAAACAAGACAAAAACCTAACAGTTGGTAATGGTTTAGGTACATTAGTAGAAGGCAGGGAAAAATATAAATTTCTGTTCAATAATTTTTTCTGTATGTTGATATAGAATATCAGGTTTGCCTTTGAGATGAAAAAGAAAATCACTCTTGGCATCCGGGTGGAGAATCAACTAAAAGGAGAAAAGTAGGAGGATATTAAAACAGAATCAAGGCTGGGTATAGTGGCTCATGCCTATAAGACCTGTGCTTTGAGAAGCCAGGAGTTGAAGATCAGCTTGGGAGACACAGCAAGCCCTTGTCTGTACACAAAAAAATTGTTTTAATTAGCCAGGCAGGTAGCACACCCCTCTATTCCCAGCTACTTGGGAGGCTGAGGTGGGAAGATTGCTTGAACCCAGGAGTTCAAGGCTGCAATGAGCTATGTCTGCACCACTGCATTTAAGCCTGGGCTTCTGAGCCAGATCATGTCTCTAAAGTAAACAAAGACAAAATTAACAGAATGGATGCAGGGAACAAGGGGAAGATAGGGGTCTGAGATGACTCTCAGTTTCTGGCTTAGACATTTGAATGGTTTGGGGTGGTAATCATCACGTCAGGGAATACTAAAGGAGTAATCAATGGGAGACAATATGTGTGGGAATACTAGATTGGTTCAACATATGAAATCAAGAAATGTGGCATATTAACAGAATAAAGGACAAAAAACTCCCATATATGTTTATCTCAATAGACACAGAAAAATTATCGGACAAAATCCAATTCCTTCATGATAAAAACACATAACAAACTAGAAACTGAAGGAAACTTCCTCAAACCAACAAAGGACCTCTACATAAACCCAAAGCTAATAACATATTTAATGATGAAAGCCTGATAGCTCTCCTACTAAGTAAAGGGAAAAAACAAGGATGTCGGTTCTTGCACTCATTTAACTTGGTCATAGACATTCTAGCCAAAAAAAAAAAAAAAAAGCCCAGGAAAAGGAAAAAAAAGTAAAAGTAAAGATCTCTACTGGCAGATGACATGATCTTATACACAGAAAATCCTAAGGAATCCACAAAGAAACAACCAAAAAATGAAGAGCTAGTATGAGTTCTGCAAGGTTGTAGGATATAAGATCAACATAAAAAATCTATTGCATTTCTATACACTAGCAAAGAACAATCAAAAAATTAAAGAATATAATCCCACTTACAGTAACATCAAGAGGAGTAAAACATTTAGGAATAAATTAAACAAAGTACAAAATTTGTACACTAAAAACTACAAAACCCTACTGTGGGACATTTAAAAATATCTAAATAAATGGAAAGACATCTCATGTTCTAGGCTTAGACAAATGTAATATTTGTAAGATGGTAATACTTCTCAAATTGATCTAGAGAGTCAACACAATCCTCGTCAAAATATTAGTGGTCTTTCTTGAAGAACTGACAAGTTGATTCTAAAATTCAGAAAGATTCAGAATAGCCAGAACTATCCTGAAAAACAAGAACAAAGTTGGAAGAATCACACTTTCCAATTTTGAAACTTACAAACTTACTACAAAACTATAGTAATCAAGACAGTGCAGTACTGGCATAAGGATATGCAGATCAATGAAACAGGATCCAAAGTCCAGAAGTAAACCCATATATTTGTGGTCAACTGATTTTAACAAGGGTGGTGCCAAGAGAATTCAATGGGGGGAGAAAATGGTCACTTCAACAAATGGTACTGGGACACCTGAATATCGATCCACATACAAAAGAATAAATTTGGATCCATACTTCAAACCATATACAAATGTCAATTCAACATGGATCAGAGGCTAAAATAATTGTTAAAACTCTTGGAAGAAAACATAGGTATAAATCTTACTGATCTTAGATGAAGCAGTGGTTTCTCAAATATGACACCAAAGCATTAGTGACAAAAGAAAACAAGCAGATAAAATGGACTTAATCAAAATTAAAAACTTTTTTTTTTTTTTTTTGAGATGGAGTTTCGCTCTTGTGACCCAGGCTGGAGTGCAATGGCGCGATCTCGGCTCACCGCAACCTCCGCCTCCTGGGTTCAGGCAATTCTCCTGCCTCAGCCTCCCGAGTAGCTGGGATTACAGGCACGCGCCACCATGCCCAGCTAATTTTTTGTATCTTTAGTAGAGACGGGGTCTCACCATGTTGACCAAGATGGTCTCGATCTCTTGACCTCATGATCCACCCGCCTCGGCCTCCCAAAGTGCTGGGATTACAGGCGTGAGCCACCGCGCCCGGCCAAAATTAAAAACTTTTATGCTTTAAAGGACAACCATCAAGAACATAGTAATGCAACCCAGAATGGGAGAAAATATCTGCAGAGCACATATCTGATAAGGGACTTGTATTAAGAAAATATAAAGAATTCCTACAAATCAACAATAAAACTACAAATAATTCAGTTTTTTAAATAAAGAATTTTAACAGACATTTCCCCAAGGAAGATATACAGAAGGCACATAAAGATAGTCAATGGCCAGGTGTGGTGGCTAAAGCCTGTAACCCCAGCACTTTGGGAGGCCGAGGTGGGCAGATCATGAGGTCAGGAGATCAAAACCATCCTGGCTAACACGGTGAAACTCCGTCTCTACTAAAAATACAAAAAAATTAGGTAGGCATAGTGGCACGCACCTGTAATCTCAGCTACTCAGGAGGCTGACGCAGGACAATCACTTGAATTTGGGAGATGGAGGTTGCAATGAGCCAAGATTGCGTCACTGCACTCCAGCCTAGGCAACACAGTGAGACTTCATCTCAAAAAAAAAAAAAATTCATTTTTTCCTCTTTCTCTTTCCTTCTTTTGCTTGCTGCTTTCTTCCTTTCTCTCTCTTTCTCTCCTTTCTATTTATTTATTTGAGACAGGGTCTCACTCTGTCACCCTGCTAGAGTACAGTAACATAATCACCACTCACTGCAGCCTCGACCTCCTAGCCTCAAGCCTCATCCTCCTGCTTTAGCCTCTCAAGTAGCTGAGAATACAGATGGGTGCCGCCACACTTGGCTAATTTTTTTTTGTAGAGATGTGGTCCCTATGCTGCCCAGACTGATCTCAAACTATTGAGCTTAAGAGACCTTCCCACCTCAGGCTCTCAGAATGCTGAGATTACAGACATGAGCCACTACTCCGAGTTCACTTCTATTGATGGAGTTTTGATCTTGTTGCCCAGGCCGGAGTGCAATGGCACAATCTCAGCTCACTGCAACCTCTGCCTCCTAGGTTCAAGCAATTATCCTGTCTCAGCCTCCCAAGTAGCTGGGACTACAGGCATGCACCACCACTCCCAGGTAATTTTTTTGTATTTATAGCAAAGACAAGGTTTCACCATGTTGACCAGACTGGTCTCAAACTCCTAACCTAAGGTGATCCACTGCCTTGGCCTCCCAAAATGCTGGGATCAGAGGCATGAGCCACAGCACCTAATCTATGTCTATATTTTAAAAGCAGAAAATATGACGTATTGACAAAGATATGGAAAACACTGTAACCCTTAAACATTGCTGTGATCCAGCAATTCTATTCTGGAATTCTATTCTGGATCATAAAATGATCCAGCCTCTTTGGAAAAGCATTTGGTAGCTATTCAAAAAGCTAAAAAAAAGTTACTGTATGATCCAGCAATTCTATTCCTAGATGTATTCCCAAAAGGAATAAAAACATATGTTCACACAAAACTTGTACACAAATATTTGCAAGCAGTATTCTTTATAATGGCCAAAAAGTAGAAACAATCCAAATGTCTGACTGAATCATAAATAAATAAAATGTGGTATCCGCACAATAAAAAATGACAAAAGGAATAAAGCATTGATACATGCTACAACATGGATGAACCCTGAAAACATTATGCTAAGTGAAAGAAAACAGACATATAAGGGCCACATGTTGTATTATTATGAAATGTCCAGAATACACAAATCCATAAAGAAAGCAGATTAGTGATTGCCAGGGGCTGGAAGGAGAGGTGTGAAATTAGATAGAAGTGATGGCTGCAGAACTTTGTGACTATACTAAAAATCACTGAAGGTGTAAATTTTATACTATATGAATCATATCTCAGGTTTTAAAAAGTGAAAAAATACTGACATTACAGTCTGTATATATATATTTTTTTCAGAATTTTTGTTTTATTTTACCTT